CTGAGGATCCCACGACTGGAAGCCTGGGAGCCTGGAAGCCCGGGAGCCTAGGAGCTTGGGGGCCTGGGAGCCTGGGGGACTGGGAGCCTGGGGGCCTGGGAGCTTGCGAGCCTGGGAGTCTGGGGGCATGGGAGCCTGGGGGCATGGGAGCTTGGGAGCCTGGGGGCCTGGGAGCCTGGGGGCATGGGAGTCTGGGGGCCTGGAAGCCTGGAAGCCTGGGAGCATGGGAGCTTGGGAGCCTGGGAGTCTGGGGGCCTGGGAGCCTGGGGGCATGGAAGCTTGGGAGCCTGGGGGCCTGGGAGCCTGGGGGCCTGGGAGTCTGGGGGCCTGGGAGCCTAGGGACCTGGAAGCCTGGGAGCTTGGGGGCCTGGGAGCCTGGTACCTGGGAGCCTGGGAGCCTGGGGGCCTGGGAGTCTGGGGGCCTGGAAGCCTGGGAGCCTGGAAGCCTGGAAGCCTGGGAGCCTGGAAGCCTGGGGGACTGGGAGTCTGGGGGCCTGGGAGCCTGGGGGCATGGGAGTCTGGGGGCCTGGGAGCCTGGGGGCCTGGGAGTCTGGGGGCCTGGGAGCCTGGAAGCCTGGAAGCCTGGGAGCTTGGGAGCTTGGGAGCCTGGGAGTGTAGCAGCCGGTACACAGTACGGTGCTATAAATACGCGCAGAGCGCGACCGCCAGCGACTCGAGAGACCTTTTCAGCGGTCAGCTGCTACAGGGAGTCTGGTGGCCTGGGAGCCTGGTACCTGGGAGCCTAGGAGCCTGGGGACAGTGTTTTGATGCCCCATGTAAAATACATCAGAGCCCCGAGCCTCCCTCCCATCTTACCTCCATTCCCGGCTGGACGTCGGCCCCATCTTCCAAGGCCTGCTGCACATGCAGGACGTGGATGGGAACATGACAAGTAGGGCAGGCACGTCGATGACGGCTGCGAAACACACACGCCCCCCTCCCCCAACCAGCCCCAGCCACCCTCCATAGCATCAGGAACAAGAAAGAGGGCAACGGGTAACGAATCCACGAAAAACAACAACCCTAGCACAGATGTGCCCCACAACTACCTGCCTGCATCAAACAAATCTGCCGTACTCCGATAGCCATATCGGAGTACGACAGTGTTTTGATGCCCCACATAAAACATATAAGAGCCCCGAGCCTCCCTCCCATCTTACCTCCACTCCCGGCCGGACGTCGGCCCCATCTTCCGAGGCCTGCTGCACATGCAGGACGTGGATGGGAAAATGACAATTAGGGCAGGCACGTCGATGACGGCTGCGAAACACACACGCCCCCCTCCCCCAACCAGCCCCAGCCCGCCTCCATAGCATCAGGAACAAGAAAGAGGGCAACGGGTAACGAATCCACAAGGAAAAACAACCCTGGCACAGATGTGCCCCACAACTACCTGCCTGCATCAAACAAATCTGCCGTACTCCGATAGCCATATCCGAGTACGACAGCATTCTAATGCCCCACGTAAAACACATAAGAGCCCCGAGCCTCCCTCCCCTCTTACCTCCATTCCCGGCCGGACGTCGGCCCCATCTTCCGAGGCCTGCTGCACATGCAGGACGTGGATGGGAAAATGACAATTAGGGCAGGCACGTCGATGACGGCTGCGAAACACACACGCCCCCCTCCCCCAACCAGCCCCAGCCACCCTCCATAGCATCAGGAACAAGAAAGAGGGCAACGGGTAACGAATCCACAAGGAAAAACAACCCTGGCACAGATGTGCCCCACAACTACCTGCCTGCATCAAACAAATCTGCCGTACTCCGATAGCCATATCGGAGTACGACAGCATTTTGATGCCCCACGTAAAACACATAAGAGCCCCGAGCCTCCCTCCCATCTTACCTCCATTCCCGGCCGGACGTCGGCCCCATCTTCCGAGGCCTGGGGCACGTGCAGGACGTGGATGGGAAAATGACAATTAGGGCAGGCACGTCGATGACGGCTGTGAAACACACACGCCCCCCTCCCCCAACCAGCCCCAGCCACCCTCCATAGCATCAGGAACAAGAAAGAGGGCAACGGGTAACGAATCCACAAAGAAAAACAACCCTGGCACAGATGTGCCCCACAACTACCTGCCTGCATCAAACAAATCTGCCGTACTCCGATAGCCATATCGGAGTACGACAGCATTTTGATGCCCCACATAAAACACATAAGAGCCCCGAGCCTCCCTCCCCTCTTACCTCCATTCCCGGCCGGACGTCGGCCCCATCTTCCGAGGCCTGCTGCACATGCAGGACGTGGATGGGAAAATGACAATTAGGGCAGGCACGTCGATGACGGCTGCGAAACACACACGCCCCCCTCCCCCAACCAGCCCCAGCCACCCTCCATAGCATCAGGAACAAGAAAGAGGGCAACGGGTAACGAATCCACAAAGAAAAACAACCCTGGCACAGATGTGCCCCACAACTACCTGCCTGCATCAAACAAATCTGCCGTACTCCGATAGCCATATCCGAGTACGACAGCATTCTAATGCCCCACGTAAAACACATAAGAGCCCCGAGCCTCCCTCCCCTCTTACCTCCATTCCCGGCCGGACGTCGGCCCCATCTTCCGAGGCCTGCTGCACATGCAGGACGTGGATGGGAAAATGACAATTAGGGCAGGCACGTCGACGACGGCTGCGAAACACACACGCCCCCCTCCCCCAACCAGCCCCAGCCACCCTCCATAGCATCAGGAACAAGAAAGAGGGCAACGGGTAACGAATCCACAAGGAAAAACAACCCTGGCACAGATGTGCCCCACAACTACCTGCCTGCATCAAACAAATCTGCCGTACTCCGATAGCCATATCCGAGTACGACAGCATTCTAATGCCCCACGTAAAACACATAAGAGCCCCGAGCCTCCCTCCCCTCTTACCTCCATTCCCGGCCGGACGTCGGCCCCATCTTCCGAGGCCTGCTGCACATGCAGGACGTGGATGGGAAAATGACAATTAGGGCAGGCACGTCGATGACGGCTGCGAAACACACACGCCCCCCTCCCCCAACCAGCCCCAGCCCCCTCCATAGCATCAGGAACAAGAAAGAGGGCAACGGGTAACGAATCCACAAGGAAAAACAACCCTGGCACAGATGTGCCCCACAACTACCTGCCTGCATCAAACAAATCTGCCGTACTCCGATAGCCATATCGGAGTACGACAGTGTTTTGATGCCCCACGTAAAACACATAAGAGCCCCGAGCCTCCCTCCCATCTTACCTCCATTCCCGGCCGGACGTCGGCCCCATCTTCCGAGGCCTGCTGCACGTGCAGGACGTGGATGGGAAAATGACAATTAGGGCAGGCACGTCGATGACGGCGGTGAAACACACACGCCCCCCTCCGCCAACCAGCCCCAGGCCGCCTCCATAGCATCAGGAACAAGAAAGAGGGCAACGGGTAACGAATCCACAAGGAAAACAACCCTGGCACAGATGTGTCCCACAACTACCTGCCTGCATCAAACAAATCTGCCGTACTCCGATAGCCATATCGGAGTACGACAGTGTTTTGATGCCCCACGTAAAACACATAAGAGCCCCGAGCCTCCCTCCCATCTTACCTCCATTCCCGGCCGGACGTCGGCCCCATCTTCCGAGGCCTGCTGCACGTGCAGGACGTGGATGGGAAAATGACAATTAGGGCAGGCACGTCGACGACGGCAGCGAACCACACACGCCCCCCTCCCCCAACCGGCCCCAGGCCGCCTCCATAGCATCAGGAACAAGAAAGAGGGCAACGGGTAACGAATCCACAAGGAAAACAACCCTGGCACAGATGTGCCCCACAACTACCTGCCTGCATCAAACAAATCTGCCGTACTCCGATAGCCATATCGGAGTA